TGTGATAGTGCTGCAATAAATGTAAAGTTACAAGTATTTCTTTTTATTTATTTCAACTCCTTTGGGCATATATCCAGGAGTGGTACTAGAAAGTAAATCTACTTTTATGTTTTTATTTTAGGAATCTCCATGTCATTTTATCCCTACCAGCAATGTATAAGAATTGCTTCTTCTCTGCATCCTCTCAAACATTTGTTAATTTTTTTATGATGGCCATTATAACTAGGGTGAGATAAAATCTCATTGTGGGTTTGATTTGCAGTTCTGTTATGATCAGTTAAATTTAGCATTTTTTATTTATTTGTTGGATATTTGTATGTCTCTTTAGTGTGTGTTTTGTTCCTTAGTCCAATTTTTAATTGAGTTGGTCTTATTTTAAGTTTCATCATTTCGTGTTTCTTATACATTCTAAATGTCAAACCCTTGTTAGATAGACTATCTGCAAATATCTTCTCATTTGTGTGGGTTGTCTCTGAATCCTAACGTTTTCTTTGCTATGCAGAAACTTCTTTGTTTGCTACAATTCCATTTGTCTGTTTTTACATTTATTACCCACGTTTCTGAGATCCTAAGAAATTGTTGCCTATAACAATGTCTCAAAGTATTTTCTCTATATTTGGTACCAATTACATAGTTTCAGATTTAGGTTATAGGACTTTGATCCATTTTGAGTTGACTTTTGTGTAAAATGAGAGATAGGGACTTAAGAGCAACATAAAAATCAGCACATCTATACACAAACAGCAAATTTACTGAAAGAATTAAGCAAGTAACCCCATTTACAATAGTTATGAAAATAATAAAACATTTAAGAGTCATCTTAACCAAGGAAGTGAAAGATCTCTACAAAGAAATCTATAAATCACTGTTGAGAGATATTATAAAACACACCCACACCCACCCACCCACACACACACACACACACACAAAGGAAAGATATTATATCTTGATGAATCAGTAGAATCAGTATAGTTAAAATGATCATACTACCCAAAGCAATCTATAGCTTCAAAGTAACTCTCATAACAATTCTAAACAATTCTTCACAGCAGTAAAAAAACAGTCTTAAAATTCATGTGGAATCACAGAAGATCCAAAATGGCCAAAGAAACATTCATCAAAAAGACTAGAAAGAATAGTGGGTAACTGGACTGGGTGGCATACACCTGTAATCCCAGCAGCACAGAGGCTGAGAAAAGAGTATCCCAAGTTCAAAGTCAGCCTCAGCAATGGTGAGGTGCTTAGCAA